TAAGGATGGCAGCGGTTCGGTTTCGGTTCGGATATCCGCGGTTTTTGGTTCTGCGGTTTTCGGTTTTGGTTCCAAATTTCACCCACGGTTTTGCGGTTTCGGGTACCCGAAAGTCTTCGGTTTTGGTGCGGATCCTATATTTCGCCCGTGGTGCTCCGTTGGGTGCCCAAAATAGACGGCCCATCAAAAAGCCCACCAAAAACCCTAGCTATATAAGTGGAAATTTCCTCTGCCTCTTATCCTCTCCCGTGCCTGCGTGACCAACAGCCGCGCCGCCACCAACATCCCGACTAAAAAAAAATGCCGACCGAACTCTTCTCCTCTCCCGACTCCCGTGCGTGACCCCTCCCTCTCCTCGCGTTATCATGTTTTATGTTGTTGTCTTTGGTGTTTTATTATAATATTTTTGGTTTTTTGGGTATCCGTTTGGTTTTTGGGTATCCGCGTGTTTTGGTTTTGGTGAAGGATTTTCACCCGAAACAGTTTTGGTTTTGGTTTTGGTTTTTAAGTTTGGGTTTTGGTTTTGGGTGCCCTGAGGTTCCATCCGATCCGAACCCGAACCGCTGCCATCCTTAATGTGGACTAAGGTGGTCCTATATTTTGTCCTTCTCTCTAAAGCATTATTTCCATGACGATGGGAATTATTGCTTTCAAACCAAAATCTATGCGCTTAGTGAATTTTCCTTATTAATGTATATATTTTGCAAAAATTAACATATATATTAATTCAAAACGTGCTGAGCTTATGTGGTAGGTTCGCACGCTTGGATAGATTTTAATTTACTTCCAATCTAAAAATAATTAGGTTTGGATTATCCATAAATATGTTGATTATTTATGGTAATGTTACATGTATTGATTGCATTGTAACATCATTTCTTACTAGTATTCGACTATGTGCATCAGATGTAAATAAAATTAAATATTATAAGTTATATTTATGTATATAATATAAAAATTATAAGTTATATAATTGTATTATATTTCAAACATATAGTATTATAAGTTATATTTATGTATATAATATTAAAATTATAAATTATATAATAGTATTATATTTTAAAATTTGATCATTGGTTAAAATAAATAGTATACACGATTTGATTGTATATGAATCACTATATTGATTGCATAAAATGTAATAAATATATACTTTTTATAATTTTGAGTGATCATGACCAATTAATTAGCTGAAAAATATTACATTTATTATAACAATTGCTTATGTGATTTTAAGAAATTTTACTATGACTTAAAAAAATTAAGTTAATAATAAACAACATCTTCATCATATAAAAAAATATCGATTTTAGTGTAAATATAATTTTATGCAACTTTCATATATTATTTAGTATAAAATATAATTATTAATTTTAATATTAACTATTATATTATTCAATAAAAAATATAATTATTAATCAAATAACATAAAATATAATGGTTTTTGTCTTAATTAATCCAAAAAAATGTAACGAAATATTTTTTTATTAATGAGATTGGGTGCATTAATGCCACATAAATAAAATTTATTAGGTTTTATTAATGATTTGCCACATAGGTAAAATTTATTAGGTTTTATTTATTAGGTAAAATTTATTGCTTAGCTAGCAATTATATATATATAGATTATAACCATTGAATTGTAAATGTATTGTAAAAGTTAATAACTTTTATTTTTTTTATCAGTTTTACGTATATAATATATCAATTTAATCATCTCTTGATGAGTTTCGATTTGACATCCATATTGTGTGTATTAAAATAAATTATATGTATCTTTTTAACAATAAAAAAATTGTTTTTTAATATTAATTAGAAAATAAAATTATTTATCAATTAATATATTTATATTTCAAGTAGTTATATGATATATGTTATAAAAAATACTATAATATTATACACGTAAATCACACAAGTAACAAGTGTCATTCTAAAATATAAACTAATATATATTTTTTGTACAAAAATAAATAAAATTTAGAATAATTTTTCTCATTAATTTTAAAATTTAAGAATAATTTTTTAACAAGCACCCGTGTAATACACGAGTGTTGTACTAGTTTTTTAATAAAGATAAATAAATAATAAATAAAATATTTAACTAAATGAATGATATTTGTTTATTGAAAAATATATAGTAATCATTAAATTTTTATTTTATTGATAATATTAATATACTGAAAAAAGTTGAGTTGGGTAAAAACTAAAAAGTCAAAAATAAGCACTGGAGAAAAAATATGTTTTGCTCATTAAACAAAAGGTGGTTGTTAAGAAAGTATTAGAGTTGATCGAATGAGTGACGCCATACTCCTTGATTACCGATCAATCTTAGTTCATAATTATTGGATATTAATTACTAAATTACTGCCAGTCAAAAATAAGTTCACCAACCTATGAACTTTTTTACCTATAAACTCTTAGAGCACTTAAGCCCATATATTAATCCTCCATAGGACTTGGAGCCAAATCAATGTTTAGTCCATACCTAAGAACAACATTACTGTGGATATTTAATATGTAAATTATATCCAAGAACAACATTGATTAAGGAGATTTAACAATGTCACCAGTAGAGCAATTTAAAATATGTCAATCATGCCATGCATAGAGTCTATTTGAAAATTCAACATTATCTCCATCTATATATTATAAATAGAAATTTAATATAATAAATGGAAGTGACAAAAGATAGAACTGTTAAATAAAATGACTGCTTGTGAACTTGGCTCGTTAAGGCTCGAGTTCATTTAGGTAACTAGTCGAATCTAAGAGTCGAAAATATGGATTTTGACATAAATTTTGTATAGCTCGTCTCGTTAAGATTTAAGGTCGATTCGTTAATATTTGATAGAAGAGTTGGTCTCAGCTCGTTTATCAAACCATTTATTTAATAGTCCGACTCGATAAAAACTCGAGCTTGAGCTCGAACCCGACTCAGCTCAGCTCATTTACTCATGCAATAAGAGGAAGGCATTTTTTTTCTTCTTTCTTTTTCCTTAAGTCGTGACTAGCACAAATGTAAGTAGGTGGTCCTCACATTTACTACTCTTTAAATCAAAGAAAATTAAACAAACAAAAGTAATTCACATTCAATTTAATCATGCGAAAAATAAAGTCACCTAAAAGGGTAAAGAAAAAGAAATGTGA